GAATTATTATATTAAGTCATCACGTTCATTAGGTGCGCAATGGTTTTAGTCATGAAACTTTATTGTAAATTTTAAAAAGTAGTGAAAAAAATGCATGAATTTATAAAGTGCAATATGGTCGGTAAAACAAGGATATTCTAAATACTGCGTTTAATTTATATTATACACTATAAAGGGCATGATTTGGCGCTACGGGCTAGACTGTGAGCAATATGCCTTTATGATTGCATTTAAATTGTTTTTATGGTAAGAGTGTTGTGTTTGTTTTTTCGTTTGTGATTTTTTTTTTGCGTTCGTTTGTGTTGTGTTTAGTTTTGTTCTGTTCCCAAGTTGGTACATTTAAAAAAGATTTACCGTGGCGGAGCACGGGAGGCAGCTAGTATATATATATATATATATATATATATATATATATATATATATATATATATATATATATATATATATATATATATATATATATATATATATATATATATATATATATATATATATATATTCATTTATATGTATATATTTATTTATGCATATATATATATATTTATTTATGCATATATATATATATATATATATATATATATATATATATATATATATAGGAGTGGAAGAAAAAGACCTTCACATAAGTAGACATATTTTATACATACACATACTTAAATATGCAAAAAAAATATTTTTCGACCCTATTTATATAGGCCCATATAAATTAGATAGACTATGGCCTTATTTCTGACACCGCCAATAAGATTATTACTCTTTAATAAATAGTAAAGTATGTTGGTACATTTCTAAAACAAACACTCATCTCTGAAACACTCCAACAGGAATACTCACTTTCAGTGGTGAAGTCCTTACCTACTAAACAAAGAACGTATTTTTTCTGAGAATCTCAATAAACTTCAACCTAATTTTTTTTTTTTTTTTTTTAATTTTTATTTATGTACGAATAACCACTGTTGTATTGGTATGGAAAATAGTTATTTTTCATCAGTCCGCATAGGAATTTGTATTTATCACCTACTAATTACACCTGCACTTACCTTAAACAATACCTTGCTGTAAAAAAGTCATGGTGTCACGACTATCATACACCTTCATCATAAAACACCAGCAACCAACCCAACCAAAAATAAGACCATCAAACATTCACATCATGAAGGATTTCCTCAATGTGTAAGGACATGGCCTGTAAAGTCACATGACCCTTGATTAAACACGGTTCCCGCGCCCGTGGATTTAACATGTTTACCTCCCCTTTATCGTGTAAGTAACTTTTAAAAGACGGTTCGCTCCCTTGCGGTGTTTTACGAATTAATTTTCCCAGTGAAAACTTCAATCGGTGTGTTGTTAAACATTGCTCGTGCATAGTAATTAATGTAGCTTAAGTTTGCTTGAGGTGGAGCTTAATCTCCATTTTTTATACAAAGAGATTTATAGGATAAGTTTAAAACTTTTAACTACGAGTCTCAAGTTAGTAATACGAATTGTTTTAGTTGTTTTTTTTTTTGGGGACCTATTGTATTTTATACAAATTATGTGTGGTCAGTACTATACGTTATTTACTTAAATATATAACCGTTAATTATGACGAAATAAATCATATTTGAATAAATAATTAACTGTTACAAATTATCATAATATCCTACTTTGTACTAAGATGTTTCAGCATTAGATATGAATATTGAATTGAATTAAATTAAATTGAATTAAATAAGAGAAAACTATCAAAACTATTGAAACTAAAAATTAAGTATCAAGTGACCATATACATATCTTAAATTAATTTAATTATTAATAATCATGCATGACCTAACTGACTCGTTAATTGTGACAGAAAACACGTTATGTGTGAATATGGGTGATTAATGATGTCATATATATGTCTAGATCTATTAAAAACTGCAGATTTGGTCGATGATTAACGATTTCACGCTTCTTAATGAGGAGAGGGTGGTAGTGGTGGGGGGTAAGGGTTTCATATGGGGTGTGTTATGTGGGCTATGGTGGGGGTTGTAGTTAAAGGGGAGGGGGTACAACGTCATATCACCATTCCTGTGGCTCTAAGGCCAATAATGGGCTCTAGCTGCTCCACCACCTGCCTCCACGTGTCCGCTTTCTGTTTGTCTTTTACCGAACCTTTAGCTTATTTGTCCGTTTGAGAAAATCCGATAGTTGATCAAATGAGTTGAGTGTGTGTCTTGACCTACGCCGAACCCTTATAAATAGTTTATTCGTCCGTATTGAGAAAATCCGATAGTTGATCAAATGAGTTGGGTGTGTGTCTTGACCTACGCCGAACCCCTTAGACGGACACACCGAACCCCTGAGGTTCAATCGAACCCAGGTTATGAACCACTGTTTTAGATTTACCATGTGGACTCTATTGTACACTTTTTTCTTACACTGTACATTTTTTCACCATACAATACACACTTAATATCAAATATTGTACACAACATGATTTACATACACTTTTTAATAGCATGTTTTGCATTACACATTTAATAGTAAGCATGTTTCACATTCGACATTTCAATAGTAAACATGTTTTACATTACACATTTTAATAGCAAATTTTTACATTAAACATTTTAATGGTAAGCATGTTTTACAAAACACATTTTAATAGCAAATTTTTATATAAAACGTTTTAATAGTAAGCATGTTTTACCTTACACATTTAATAGCAAATTTTTATATAAAACGTTTTAATAGTAAGCATGTTTTACATTACACATTTTAATGGTAAGCATGTTTAACATTAAACATTTTAATAGAAAACATGTTTTACATTACAACTGACAAGGGCAGAACTATCTTGGGAAAATGCCAAGAAAATTGGCATAGACCAATATAAGTGGAAAGAGCTTCCTGTGTATCAAGCAAATTAAGACCAAGCATGAATTGCATTAAATTGTTTTAAATAAATATTTAAAAAAAATATTCTGACTCTAAACTTAGAAGTTTTTTTTTAATACATTAAACACCTTTACACGTAGTTATAAACTAAACATCTAATAGTATAATTGTGTAAAGATTGGTGTTGTAACTAGTAACTTTATTTTTATAAGTTTTCTTTTTTCAAATATCTGGCTATTTACTCATGAATAAGGAACTGTAATATGAACCCTGACCTCTGACCGTTCAACAGCTAAAAACCCACTTCACATAACAAACATAATACTTAAGGATCAGCCAATTCGTTTCCTTGTGAATCAGAAACTTTTTTCTTTCAATTTTCGTCACACTGGTGTTTTTTTTTTCTACTTTAGGCCTAAATGATGGTACACATTCAATACAACATAGAAGTAGAACACAAATGACAAACATCGTTCCACATTTTACTTTTTCAAAGACAACCTCCAACCCCCAGCCCCCCCCCCTTCACCCCCACTCATTGACAATTTAACTTCGTTTTCCATAAACAGTGATCACTAAAATTATTGCAAAAATATAAATTTAGAAAAAAAATTTCCTCATACAGTTGTAAAGGTTTCAACTGATAAGTAAAAGAAAAAAAAACAATGTGTAAGTCATTAGTGTCACCGTATTTATACAACCAACAGCAAGCATTTGGTCCCAGTAAGTTAAAACAAAACACTTGTGCTTAGTACCCCTAGCCCGTATACCACAGTTCGTATAACAACCATATGCTATACATACCCACATCCTGTTATATTATATTGCTCATTAACACCTGTGTCCCAGTGGTGTTTCATAATACATGCACGACCCCTGGAGTAAAACATTGGACATCCCGACACCATGGTGTTACATAATACATGCACGACCCCTGGAGTAAAACATTGGACATCCCGACCCCATGGTGTTACATAATACATGCACGACCCCTGGAGTAAAACATTGGACATCCCGACCCCATGGTGTTACATAATACATGCACGACCCCTGGAGTAAAACATTGGACATCCCGACCCCATGGTGTTACATAATACATGCACGACCCCTGGGCTAACACATTGACATCCTGACCCTATGGTGTTCCGTGTACGACCCATGTGGTTAAACATTGACGTCCTGACCCCATGGTGTTACATGCACGACCCCTAGGACGTCGGTAAAACATTGACGTCCTGACCCCTTGGTGTTACATGCACGACCCCTAGGACGTCGGTAAAACATTGTACGTGTTCCGTAACTTTTTCTCTTCCGTCCAAAGCTTTGTGTACACGTTCACAGGCAGCTTAGGTGGGCAGTTGGTCGCCTGGGCTTGTTCTTGTCCAGGGGAGGTAGAGTCAGCCTGTTGGATATTCGTAGAAATGATATTTTCAGGTTGATGTTCTGGACTTATGTTCAGTGGTTCTAAATTAGCTTTGATGTGGCTTTCTGTCAGTGGGATGGTGTGGATTTCTGAACATGCAGTCACCAGCCCTAGTTGTGGGTTGATGTGGCTTTCTGCTCGTGCGGGGTCTATCTGTAATTTTTCCAAGTGGATTTCTGGCCGTGCGGTCACTTCCCCCAGCTCTAAGACAGTCGCTGTAATGTTTTCTCCACCCTCAACCTGAATATTTTGGTCCTTTATCTTTTTATACAGCATATTTTTATAAAGGTTTTTCGGTGTAGCGTAGTTGGGTACTGGCGTCTCAGCTTCGTCTTTTAACACATGTGTAGAGGATTCATTCTCGTGGTACTTAAAAGTACCGCTGTCAGTTTCCTCAATGCTGTATTTCATACTTACTCTGTTCTTGACATCTTTGCTGTCATACTCATCTTTAGTACTGCTGTCGTTCACATACTTGCTGTTGCTGTCAGTGTCATTCACATCCTTACTGCTGTCAATGTCATTCACATCCTTACTAATGCTGTTGTCCACATCCTTAATGCTGTCCGCATCCTTGCTACTCTCCATATCAGCCACGTTTAAACCACCCTCAACAGACAACAACCCACCGGATGTCCTACCCGAACAAAAATTACTATAAACAATATCTTGATTGTGTTTAGGCAACGTTTCGGCCAAGCAGTAGCCATGACTCACATTTTCCTCAACCTCTGGGCTTTGTTTAATTAAAACTGGAGAACCCCTGCCTCTTCGTCTCCACACACCCACCCCACAACACCCCAACACAAGTATAACCCCAACGATAACAAACGCTACAATATATTCGGTGCTTTTATCCGGTGAATTCTGTTCACTACGGCAGGATGGATAAGCAAGAGGCAAGTACGCATCAAGATGGGAGATAACTAGTCGAGAACGAGGCTGTCTCCAACAGATATCCGCCATTGTGTGACAGGAGTTGTTGGCCCGCCGGCATGTAATGTTGAAGGTGTCTGTGTGTAAATCACACAGGACACCTGTAGCCTGTGTGTCTACACCTTGAACCACCTGCGACAGGTGTTTGATGGTGGAGTTGTGTTGGAAGGACCAGGCCACGCATCTAGAGATTGTTGGACTACACAAGCAGGCTGTGAATCTTTCACAAGAAAGTTCAAATTAGTTATTAAAAAAATACACTACATTAACTAGCTAATTAAAGATTTAAATAAAAAATATAATGGCAATTAAAATTTAAATAAAAACGTGACTGATCACCATAAATTTTTATCCCCTTTCGCCCCCCCCCCCCCCACCGTTTCAACAATTTACACTAGTATATATAAACCTATATAAACATATATATATATATATATATATATATATATATATATATATATATATATATATATATATATATATATATATATATATATATGGCTAAATTCTCGCCTTAACCAACTTCCCACGAGTAAGTAATTACTTGACAAGGTCCAAATGACACATCAAGAAAACAAACTTACCTTCGGAGTATGCTAGGTTCGAACCGGATGTGGAAGTCTCCAAACACAAAGGTCGAGAAGTTACCTGTGGCTAGAGCTGGTCTAAACAGAACAACGGCTAGCCATGCTGGGAGATGGAAGACTCTCATTATTGTATCCAACTCTGAAGGGACCAAAACTTGTACAAAACGTGTACACGTGTGTACAACTTCTTGCGGTGTCTCATCAATTAGCCTAAGCTACAGTCTAAAACACAGGTTTTAAGATGTGTACGACTAAACACCTACGTATTAAGCTCACAGTACATTAAGAGCACAAATTCCGAGAAATGTCGTCCAAATCTTTACTTTCTAAATGTTACGTACATAAATTATTGTTTCTCTTCTTGATAGCAATTCAGTAGAATTTCAAAATATATAAGCCAACCAACTAATTAATTATCTATGGCTATTAATTAGTGAATTGATTGATTTGTCTTCATCCTTAGGCGAGTCAGTCGATTCAAATGCGCGGCAGGTTTTCTACCAACCAACTGTAACATGTTCTACCAAACTGTCTAGAAACTTCCACCACGACCACACATACAACTCGCATCATACTTAGGATCCACAACCACGACCTCACATACCCCATATATATATATATATATATATATATATATATATATATATATATATATATATATATATATATATATATATATATATATAGCTTTTTTTCTACTATGTATGACAGATGTAACCGTAAATACATTCAGGTGTTTGCTTGGAAAGAAAACAATGTCAAATAGTACGTGTTGATATTTTTTTTATATTTGGCATAATAAAATAACGATACAGCTTTATTGTGAGGGATTACAATTACAAAGATGGGATCATGTTTATATTATAAAACACAACATTGGATTCTATTAACACACCCCACTGTTGTATAACATTTCATAGACACCCCCCCCCCTTTCCCTCAACACAATAGTATGTCGAATTTCAAATTTCTAAAACGCACCAACTTCCATAATGTTTTATAATATACATACACATATCCCTAAAATGAGAACGACGTTATAGTAACGTGCATAGAATAAAAAATGTATTAATTTTATAATAAATTAAAACAAGTAACGATAAATAGATAGTAATTTGAAATGATATTTTTGTCATGGTCTGTAATGTTTGTAAAAAGTAAAGTTTCCTTTACGAACATCACGGACCAATCGGCCAAGTGAAGTAGAGTTCACCTGTTTCTGTGACCTCGACCTTTGAAGGGATAGTGTTGTCAATACTAAGCCCAGGCTCTTTTACTTTCCCATTAGAGCTGGGTGAACTCTGGGACGTTGACCTGACTTGTGTGTGGACCTGTCTTCACAATCAACTAGACAACGTTCACATCCTGGGCCAAATCTGTTTTCTTATTCATCTTACCGAGACTTACAATCAACAAGTTTCTTGTTGTATTTGTTTTGAACTTTTTATTTATAGTACATTGTTTTATATTTTTATTGATTTTCTGAGAATATTTTGTCTAAGTTTCCTTCATTGTTTTATATTTTTATTGTTTTTCTGAGAATAATCTGTCAAAGTTTCCCTTACTGCTGCAGTAAAGTCAAGTGTCTCCACATTTCTCCAGCTCAAAATAAACATTACTTGGTATCGACTTAGGGGTATCGTACAAGCTCACCGGATCGGCGTAGACATTTTCTTGTACCGCATACAACCCGGTGTCGTCGGATTCACTATTGTTGTAATCGGGGCTCGATTTGTTGGCGACTCTCGACGGCAAGGCGATGTCATCCGTGGATCTCCGGTCGCTTCCGGCTCCGTCCGGCTCCAACATGGGCTGAGCCAGAGAGTAGATCTCCTTCGGTGCGGTGTTCGCGCGGATCATAACCCGTTTCTTCGACTTCCGGTTATTCTGCGTGACCGGCGTGACGTTGTAGTGCGAGTTATGGACCCTGGTGATCTCCCCTAACGTTGAGTACTTGGTCCCTGAGTTTACGGCCAGACTCGGAGAACTCCGGCTTTTTACGGCAATTTCCGACGAGCAGTAATGCATGTCTTGTACGCCGGCGCCGATCTCAGATCCTTGGTTGCCTTGGTTACGAGCTTTGCTTGTGTTGATAACACGATCTTGGGAGTAAGTCTTGTATTTGGATTTACCAGGTTCAGACATAGCGCGGCTGACTTGTCCGTTGGGAGATTTGGAGCCATCCGTCCCAGGAGACTCCGGGTTGTCCTCAAGGCTGCAAATATCGATCTCACAGTAGCTATTGGTCTCGGGTCCAATGTGGATCTGAATTTTGAAATTATCACTTCCGGTTTTGACTTGCGTATTGCCAGATGTTCTGGTGGGTGTGTTGGTTTGTTGTGTGGTATTGTTATTGTCGTGTCGTTGACACCATTGGAAGTATCGACTTGTTTGTATTCTCTGGCAGAAGGCAGCGCAGCAGGATAGCAAGGAACCCTGGCATTGACGTCTGCGAGCGCATGTATAAGAGAGACATCCGGTGGTCACTTCCGGTTCCGGTTCCTCCACGTCATCCTGGACCGTGGGTTTCTGTTTATTTGAACAAACAGCGCAGCCCACGGCGAGAGAAACAGCACCGAACAGGAACAGCCCTAATACCGTTTCCACGACACGAACAGCATTCGTGCGGCTGTTTCTATGCAGGATGTCGTCGGTGTGGTGGTCGGAGTTGACGTTTGCGTGACGTTTGTGTCGTCTTGATTGGAGATGTTTGATGGGGAGATGTACAGGTGTGGGACGTCTTGGTGGGGGACGTGTTAGTGAGGGACGTATGGGAATTTGAGGAGTTGGGGTGTTACGTCGCGGTATGTGAGGTCTTAATGTTTTATGTGTGGGTGGTTGACGTATAGGTGTGTGACGTGTTGGTGTATGACGTATTGGTGTGTGACGCATTCGTGGTTGACGTATTGGTTGACGTATGGGTGTGTGACGTGTTGTTGGTTGACGTATGGGTGTGTGACGTGTTGTTGGTATACGTATGGGTGTGGGACGTGTTGTTGGTATACGTATGGGTGTGGGACGCATTGGTGTTTGACGTACTTGTGTGTAACGTACTGATGTATGACGTACTTGTGTAAGAGGGCTCAAAGTGTGAAGAACATCTCCTCGTGACTTTGTTTCTTGTCTTCTTCTAAACATCAATGGCGTCGTATTGGAGATGTTCTTTGTTATTTTCGTTTTCTCCGTAAAGTTTAAATGCGACCTTCTTTTAAATTCTTCCTTCGAATTATATCTCGAGGGAACCGAACTTTGCTGTACAAGGTTCCTTGAAAAGTGGGAACCAGAACCTGTCGAAGCACGGTAAAAATCACAAACGTCTTGGACGTCCGCGCCTTGTTTGACTTTCACCGGCGGATGTAATTTTACTCGAACATGTCGTAAAGGAGGACGGCCATCGTGGTGTACCAAATCCCTAGCCCGACGACACGAGATGTGGATATGGTGACCCTCCTCGGGTGAGGTGATGTTACAGGTTAGGGTCCGGTACACCTGATGTGATGTCATCGTCTTCGTTGTTTGAATAGAGGCTCGTTTCCGCTTGGTTGAATCCGCGATATGCGATGTTTTTGTAGTGCAGGTGACTAGTGTCATGTGACATAAACACCAGGACAGCCTAATTAGAAGGGAAAATAATTATCAATAAGTGAAGAGAAATAGTTAAATTCTACGGTACTTTAAAGTTGTCCGGAACAAGAAGCCAGTTTTTTTTTTTATTGTTAAGGCACCGAACCTAGTTGAGGAAGGGAAATAAAACAGGATTTGTAAGTTAGCCATATTTTGAGGGGTTGTTTTTTTTCGTTAGGAGGAAAAGCCTGCTATATGTTGGACGGCGTGGTCAAATAGTAGAGCATACAACTGCTAATCCGAAAGTCTCGAGTTCGAATTCGTCCCTGAGTTTCCCCAGCTATGATAGGTACCTGACTCACGTTTAGGAAACTAAAGGTGGCTTGGTATAGTGGTGATAACACTATCTCTATATGTGGAGTTCACAGAAACAGGTAAACTCTACTTCACTTGCCCCTTGCACCGTCAACTGACGAAATCAAATGATAAACTTAAAGAAACCAGCACCTACTCGACTAGCCCGCTCGCCTTAAGCGTGAGGTTGACCCGGCCGTCCATGATGGTGACCAGTCCATTCTGCTGAGCTTCAGCCCCATTCTTTAAACGTGTGCCAGTGAACGCAAGCAAGCAACAAATGATCTCCAATTTCATCATGGTGTCTGAATGTAAAGGTGTCTTCTGTTGATCAATGGTGTTTGTAACATAAAGTGTCACGTGATCCTGTAAAGTTGTTTTCTGTTGATCAATGGTGTTTGTTAAAGGTGTAGCATAGTGTGCCACCGTGATCCCGGTATTTAAACGCACACAAAAATGTTTTTAGTCACATAAAAGGTGTCTGTAAAGTGTTGCCTACTGTCACAAAAGATAGCTGAAAAATGGCATCTTCTGTCGTATAGATGGTGTGAGCTTAGAAAGGTGTCATCTGTCACCCGAAAAAGTGTCTATTTGTAAAAGACGTCTATTTTAAAATTGTGTCTTGATGTGTTATAGGAATGCCGGCACAGATAAACTTGAAAACTTATGCGAATTAAACAAGAAGAAGTGAGGCTTGTCTAGGGTTAGTTTAAGGAAGCAATGTTTCACGAATTCCTTCGTGGTAGTTTTATTATTTTAATATTTATAATTATATGTATAAGTATGTTTATATTATTATTTAATTTATATTTAATGTTATTTAGTTAATAACTAACGAATCGATGGGTATCGTTATCCTAACAGAAGAAGATTACAGTAAATGAATAACAGCTCAGTGAGTCAAGTCACAACAAACATGCTTTACTTTGACACATACACACACACCCACACACATTATATATATATATATATATATATATATATATATATATATATATATATATATATATATATATATATATATATATATATATATATATATATATATATATATATATTAGGAAATTAGTACGAGGAAAAGGCTTACTAACATTTTATATACATTTTGAAAATTAATGCACAGCCAATTTAACTAATTAACTCACTTTAATATGCAAATCCAAATGAATATTTCTATAACTGTATCTAAAAATTAATGCTCACAACTTTACTTAACACGAAATAGAACGACAGAAAATCTAACTCTAGTTACTTTTAAATTGAACTCATTTAATTTTATTAATTACCCGTTGAATTTCTATGAAAAAAAAAACACTATCTTTTGTCACTACATTTCCGTAAAGTTTGACCCATCATGTTTTTTTGTTGGAAATTTTCCTTTAAAAAATAACGGAAGAGCTCTCTTTAGCCTAGCATGTGTTCAGACAGCACAAAGTTTCGATAAAAACGAAACTCAGCAAAGTTACTCAAAAGGAAGTAAAATTAATTGACTTATGTGTGTTTTATTTGTACAACTAATAAAACAAACGTTACTTTAGTTGTGAAAGTGGATGAAGGAATAAAATACATATTGTTTTTTTTAAGTGGATGGTTAGACTACTTAAAATCTATTTATACATTGTAACATAATTGGCACCATGTAATGCGCAGGAAACTTTGGCAGATAGAAATAAAACATGTATCACCAAGTGTGGCATTTCCCTTAACAAAAACAAAATATTCAACACGAAAAATAGTTTCTTTAATTTTCAATCGAATCTTTATTTTTATTTTCCTCACTGTTCATAAGGTTTCAAAATTTAAACTCAGCACTATGTGTCGTATATAATAAATCATTGTGTTTTTTAATATACAAGTAAAATTATTTTTAAGAAATTAGGTAGTATGAACTTCAAAATGTAAGTCAAATCTGAAGAGGGCCTACGTCTATTACCCACACAAGATCTATCGTCTGCTATGACACACGAGTGTTTCAAATGTTTTGTCACTTGACATTTTTTGCTGTTTGACATATATATTTTACTGTCACATTTCAAGTTCTGTCACATTCTATGTGGCATATATGTTAGCTGGCCCTACAAAAAGGTGGAATGTTAGAAAGTAGAGTTCACAAACTGGGACAATTGCTTTACTGAAACCAGTGTTTCTTCCAGACTTTTTTCTCCGGTGGGGGGGGGGGGGGGGCGCACTTGATATTTTCGGGGGGGGGGGGGGACACTGTTAAAAGTATGTTTTCTATATATAAATTCCATTTCGTTCGGGGGGGGGGCGAAGAGAAGCTTGGAAGAAACTCTGACTCAACCCCTGATCGTCTGTATATTTCTTGTGGTCTCGTCATGCCTGGGATTTTTTTTCCGGACGTGGAGGTTACGTAATACGTCAAGTTTGATGACGTCATTTCGTGTAGGCTTGAGTGCTGATGACGTCATCATCGGTAGCGTAAATCCTGGAGGTGCTACCAAAATCAATATCAGCGGCTTTACCTACTTGAGACAGAAGTTATGGGAAGGTTGTCTGTTCTTGCGGCTTCTAATGGACTGAGTTTAAACAGTTAACCCTTAAATATCTGATGTGCTGAATTTATAGTGTTAAACCTTTAACAAATGATATGCTGTGTGGACACCTTGTCTTGTTAAAAGATAACTTATTCCTAATCACTCAAATAAGAACAAAATCTTATAGTATTCTTCATCGATCTCTTTAGAGCCGAAATGAATTGTAAAGTATTATTACAATAACATGCAATCGCCAACATAAAATAAATCTTGTTGCGCCGATTATAGAGGTCTACCAGGAGAAATTGAAAGTAGAGTTCTAGTGTGATTCACTTCCGTGTTATTAAGCAAACAGGTAACTCACAAATTACTCGTGTTTTATTACACTTGATCGTGATTACATCCCTTTAAGTATTGTTTTTACTATATCGTATATACGAAGTATTGAGAAAATCTTGTAATCGTGCAAAAAAAAAATCGAGATTTTTACAAATCTCGACGTTTTACACCTCACTGATACGGAAAAAACATAATTTTGCAATCTTGTCCGTATGTCTGCGTGTCTGTCTGTCTGTGTGTCTGTCTGTCTGTGTGTAAACACGATAACTTGAGTATCGTTACAGCTAGGCTTATGAAATTTCATATATAAGTATTTTATCAAAATCGTAGATCCTGATCAACTTTTGAGCGATTTCCGATAACCGGAAGTTGTACTTTTTCTACTTTGAATTTTTCAAAAGCCTATAACTTGAGTACTATTTCAGATAGATAAATGAAATTTCACATGTAAGTAAAAGATCTAATTCTCTACCTTCTGTCAAATTTTGAGTAATTTCCGTTGACCGGAAGTACTAATTTACGCTATTTCCGATTTCTCAAAAAACGCATGTAAATTTATAAAGGACTAATAATATTGCGCACTATTATGCACATTTTGTTTTGGCGTTCGCTTGGTGCGCAATTCTTTTTTCAATGAGAATCTATTTTTAAAAGTTTAAGTAATTAAAAATCATGTCTATATTCCAAGTTATATAAGAATATTCGAGAAAGTTTAGGGGAGATCACTCCCGGTTTATTTAAATATGCCAGGAAGGTAAAAATCTGGGTTCAAACATGCTTCGTTTTAACGTGCGAAAACGGAGAATATGCTAAATTTTAAAGACATCAAGGATTCGCATGGAAATTGCAAGCACTAACATTGATTTGTTTTAACCTTGAATGTTATGACTAACATTATATATCCTAAATTCTCTCACTCCCTCTGTAGCCTATAGATCATTTTTTCTTAACCTGGGTTCGATCGGACCCCTGGGGTCGGGTGAATCAGCATCAGATATGCGAAGGTCAATACCCACACTTGACTCATCTGATTCAAGATTGGATTTTGTCAGTGCGGACGAGTTAACTATATAAAACTGGTGGGGTTCGGTATATCCAAACCACTTATATATATATTCGTGAAAACTTTCACAACGCATAAGTAACAAAAAGTGATATATTTTATATAAAAGAACTATTTTTATTGACCAACAAATTGACTGGGTAGGATGAAGTGTGACGTTATTTTTATGGGGGGGGGGGCTTTTTGTGACGATTTGTGACGGAGGGAAGGAGGGGGGGGGGGGGGGTAAAAAAAATCGTCAAATAAACCGTGACGTCATTTATGGATGACCCCCTATACACGATGAATATATTACAGAAGTAAGAGATATTTGAAGTAACGCAGGTAAACGGCTGTGTATATTTAAACAGGTAACATTAAATCAGTGACGTGGTTGTGCGATACAAGCTATTTTTAGAAATCACGACAGGTATCAAAAATATGAGGCGTGTAGCTAACAGATCATACATTACTAGACACAAACTGATGATTTTTTTTATTATTTTTTTTTTTTTTTGGAAACTAACAGAATGTAAAAAATTATTTTTTTTTATCCCAAAAGTCTATCTGGTTAGCGAAAAGATAAAAACAAATGGTAGCTGCATTTATCTGTAATTCCACTTCTTTTAAGTAAAAAAATATATATTAAAAAACCAAGTTGTATAACTTTTGGTTGTCCCTCGATATTTGATCAATGATAGCAGAGTTACGTGTCCCTTGTTGAAGCTCTGTATGGGTTGAAAGCATTTTGAGTTCTGCTGCTGAAGCGATCTGTATTCGGAAGGCTCGGTCCAATACTTTCATAGTTACGTGCTCCTTCGCTATCTTCAGTTGACGAAACCTCGATTATTGTATCCAACCGCGACTCACTACCACTACTATCTGAGGTTCCGCCAGGGGAACTAGCTGGGGCTCTGTATGGGGTAAACACATCTTGAAGCCGGCCGCTAAAGCGATCAGTGTTTGGAATGCTATGGGCGATACTTTCATAGTTACGTGCCCCATCTCTATCTTCATTTGACGAAGTATCCAACCGGGAATAACTACTGTCTGAGGCTCCACTTGGGAAGTTTTCTGAGGCTCTGTATGGGTTGAAAGAATACTGAGCTTGGGTACTGAAGTGATCTCTGTCGGAAAAGTTCCGAGAGCTTAGAGAATCGTTGTAGTCGACCGCAGGGGTGTTGATGGTGTTGGTGTTGTTGGTGGTTGAGACCCCACTAGCACGTCTCATGTAGTTGATGGCGTCGTTGCTATTTGGCGGAGTTGAAGATGGTCCCATTCTTTCATACGAATTGTCTTTTTTTCGTCTCGTGAAGCATATTATTAGAGTTAGAGTTATAGCATTGGAGATGAACAACACCGCCAATAGACCATAAATTATGTAGATGTTCACGGTTGAGTTGATTTTTATAACTGAACTTTCGTCTGGTAGAGTATCCATCAGGTAGAGTTTTTTTTTTTTTTGTCAAGTTATTTTTTTTGTTGATATTTTTGTTAAGTTAAATTTTGTCAAAATTTGGGTTTTTTAGACAATGGCCCTTCGATGGTTTTTTTCTTCTGGGTTTTGATGTTGACCATAAATCTGAAATTGAAAAATGAGTTGTGTAGAATTGTAAGTGTCTACTCAGACATTTTGTGTATCGTTTCAGCATTCGAAAGAAATAACTGATCTGATGTAGATTACCAGACTAACAAAGCCTTCAAATGCTAGTGTTGTATTAATTAACACATACATTAATGAATAATTATTTCTACTTATTGTAACTCAAAACATTTAGCACCCTTTAAAATAACTGAATACAAAAATGACCTTACCGTAACTCACCTGTAATCTGTACCTTCGAGAAATATGTCTATATATAACATTTAATCCTTCAACACTAATAGAATAATCAACCAGGTAGTTTTCACATCTACACACCTCCAAGAAGTGCTTCAGTGTTGATATTTCTCTCAGCAACCTTATGCGAGGATGTAATAACAGGATGTATAAAATATGGCACGGATGCGAATTTAAATATTTGTTCAGCTTTTCGGGCTAAGGTTCTGGTTACTAGTTCGTTTTGGAAATTTCAGTCCAGAATCTGGGAAGTGGTGGGTCAATATTTGACGGCCTTTATAGTGTTAAGCAGAGGTGGACTGGCCCACTGGTCTACCAGGGAAAATTCCGGTGGGCCGCCACCAACCCCAGGAAAAAATTGTTAGGCCCCCAAAAAACGGTGCAGTAATAATACTATATTTTTAGATTATATATATATATATATATATATATATATATATATATATATATATATATATATATATATATATATATATATATATATATATATATATATATATATATATATATATATATATATATATATATATCATTTCCATTTCTTCATGCTTCGATAGAGAAAAAACCCACATTGAAAATTTACTTTTTCTGGGTTTGGATCCCCTAATAAAATTTCCCGGGTCTCTTGAACACAGCCAGTCCAACCCTGGTGTAGTCTGTTTCTGCTGGTTTCTGCCTCAACAAACATCATTTGGATCGGCAAGCCTCAAATCCAATCCACAATTTTATTTTATTTAAGATAGCCACTGTCCACTATAGCTGACTAGAGAACGTAATCATACGTCCCCGACTTAGGTAGGTATAAGACTCAAAATCATATGATTTATATTTATAAATTACGGGGTTTTTTTAACCTGTAAAATTAGTAGTGAAGCATGCAAGACTGATCTAAGGGAGACAATCGACACAATATTTTGCAAGCTTTTACTTTACCTTTTAAATAAGAACACAAAAATGAGGGGAGAAAAACGAGTCTCCACTATGCATGTTAGGCTGGGTCATGGCGAACCCAAACTTTGTAAAACTGTAAACCAATGAATAAATCATGTAGATAATTTGTGTGGCTGTTGTTGGTATACAGGGCCTAATGTATACAACGTTGTGGCTGTTGTTGATATACTGGTGCCTAATGTATACAACGTTGTGGCTGTTGTTGATATACTGGTGCCTAATGTATACAACGTTGTGGCTGTTGTTGATATACTGGTGCCTAATGTATACAACGTTGTGGCTGTTGTTGATATACTGGTGCATAATGTATACAACGTTGTGGCTGTTGTTGATATACTGGTGCCTAATGTATACAACGTTTGTGGCTGTTGTTGATATACTGGGCCTAATGTATTCAATACAATACGTGTGGCTGTAGTCTATATACATAACTTAATGTGTACAAACTTCGGGGGTTTCAAACTTGATGGTCCATGTGGCAACTGGGGTAGAGTTCACCTGCTTCTGTGACCTCTGCATATATAAAGGAATAATGTGGTCAGCGGTATACCCAGCCACCTCTACTTTCCGTAACGTGAGTTTGGAACCCATTAGAGCTGGGTGGTCTCATGGACTTTTTACTGAATTGAACCCGGATTGACCTTAAGTCTTTCGGGCCAGCAGTCTAGCGTTCTCCAGCTAGACCAAGCCGTCCCAAATGGGGGTAGGGGGGTGGAGAGCTGAACAATGTTTATATATAGGCCTATTTTAAAATGTTATTTTTGTTCGATATCGTTGGGAATGGGGAAGGGGGGGGGGGGGGGATTGCGCGTGCTCCGGAAGGGGGGGGGGGAGCATTGGCTGAAAGAAACGCTGCAACAATCGAGACAATCCGCCGGATGTCAAGCAATCAAGTGCTGATTCTGCTCCCCCACAGATAATGAACACTTTGCTGTCTTCCTGTTTCAATTATAACATTGCGAGTAGACATAGTTCCTACTTAGTACTTTCAACTTTCACGTAGATCTAGAGGGAGTATAGGGGAAATATTGTAATCGTGCAAAATATAAACTGGGATTAAGAAAAAAGCTCAACTTTTTTTTTACACCTTTCTTAGTAAGAAAAGAACTCGGTTTTTCAATCATAGCACAGTTTGCCCCTTTCTCTCTTTTCCTGTGAGTGTGTATATGTATATATATATATACTAGGCATACTGCCTAGCTTCGCTTAGGTTTTCAAAAACATTTGATAATTTGAATAGTAATTATTAGGTGATGGATGAGGCGTGGAGTGCTTAAATGTAAACAGTAATGCTAATTTTAGAGAAGATGTTGTAGGCCTATGCTCTTTAACATCAGCATTCAGAGAAAGTGTTCGAAAGTACGCAATTTATAACTAAGATGGAAATAGAACTACAGAGGTTCCATGAACAGTATATCTCATAATTTATATTACATTGACTTTTAAAATTAATTTTTTATTTAATTATGATACGTAGCTTAATTAATAACTTATTTTTATCTAACACAAATGCTATACTTTGTCGTTTTCTGTTTCTGTTTAAAATAGTATACAATTATTTGAAAAATAATTATTTAAAAAGGTTACCTCCCTTGGAAATTAACCGAATGACGTATCTCTGTGTTTACTTTTTTTTTTAAACAGTTACTATGCTTATATAAGAAAATACGATATATAAACATATTTAACGACTGCAATAGCTTTTTCCGACGGGATTAAAGTTTTTTTGTCACCCTCCAGGGTCGGTCTACGACCTCAAATAATATTAACGGGATCGATCGTCAAATTATTTATATATATCTCATATAAGGAGAATTTCACTCGCGGTCATCTTTTAGCACTGGTCGAGGGCTTTGAGTCTGACCAACAGTTTTTCCATACGGCCTAGTCATCTATAGAAGTGTATGCAAAACATTAGCATGATGTACAGAGGTTAAGTAACGTAAAAATTGTGTTGAAATTACCCTGTTTTTTTCCATAAAATACAAAGATTATATAGGGAAATACGACTGGTCAGTTTTGACCCCTTTACGAAGTTTTCCCAGATATGCCGAGTTTTTTGTGACACCCCAAGGCGTTCTCCTACCACCTCACAAAATATCAAGGGGGGTCGTCGGAGGAATTTTTTTTTCTTAATAGAGCTCATATAAAGAGAATTTCACTCGCGGTCACTTTTTAGCCCTCGTCGAGGGCTTTGAGTGAAACCGACAGTTTTCCCTAAAGGTCAAGCCATTGACCTAAGAGTATGCAAAAATTTAGCCAGATATACTGAGTTTAAGTACCCTAAAGCCTGCGTTGAAATGACCCTCTGTTTTTCCAATAAAATACAAAGATTATATAGGGAAATACAACTGGTCAGTTTTGACCGCTTTACGAAGTTTTCCCAGATATGCCGAGTTTTTTGTGACACCCCAAGGCGTTCTCCTACCACCTCACAAAATATCAAGGGGGGTCGTCGGAGGAAATTTTTTTTCGTAATAGAGCTCATATAAAGAGAATTTCACTCGCGGTCACATTTTAGCCCTCGTCGAGGGCTTTGAGTGAAACCGACAGTTTTCCCTAAAGGTCAAGCCATTGACCTAAGAGTATGCAAAAATTTAGCCAGATATACTGAGTTTAAGTACCCTAAAGCCTGCGTTGAAATGACCCTCTGTTTTTCCAATAAAATACAAAGATTATATAGGGAAATACAACTGGTCAGTTTTGACCGCTTTACGAAGTTTTCCCAGATATGCCGAGTTTTTTTTGACACCCCAAGGCGTTCTCCTACCACCTCACAAAATATCAAGGGGGGTCGTCGGAGGAAATTTTTTTTCGTAATAGAGCTCATATAAAGAGAATTTCACTCGCGGTCACATTTTAGCCCTCGTCGAGGGCTTTGAGTGAAACCGACAGTTTTCCCTAAAGGTCAAGCCATTGACCTAAGAGTATGCAAAAATTTAGCCAGATATACTGAGTTTAAGTACCCTAAAGCCTGCGTTGAAATGACCCTCTGTTTTTCCAATAAAATACAAAGATTATATAGGGAAATACAACTGGTCAGTTTTGACCGCTTTACGAAGTTTTCCCAGATATGCCGAGTTTTTTTTGACACCCCAAGGCGTTCTCCTACCACCTCACAAAATATCAAGGGGGGTCGTCGGAGGAAATTTTTTTTCGTAATAGAGCTCATATAAAGAGAATTTCACTCGCGGTCACATTTTAGCCCTCGTCGAGGGCTTTGAGTGAAACCGACAGTTTTCCCTAAAGGTCAAGCCATTGACCTAAGAGTATGCAAAAATTTAGCCAGATATACTGAGTTTAAGTACCCTAAAGCCTGCGTTGAAATGACCCTCTGTTTTTCCAATAAAATACAAAGATTATATAGGGAAATACAACTGGTCAGTTTTGACCGCTTTACGAAGTTTTCCCAGATATGCCGAGTTTTTTTTGACACCCCAAGGCGTTCTCCTACCACCTCACAAAATATCAAGGGGGGTCGTCGGAGGAAATTTTTTTTCGTAATAGAGCTCATATAAAGAGAATTTCACTCGTGGTCACTTTTTAGCCCTCGTCGAGGGCTTTGAGTGAAACCGACAGTTTTCCCTGAAGGTCAAGCCATTGACCTAAGAGTATGCAAAAAAATAGCCAGATATACTGAGTTTAAGTACCCTAAAGCCTGCGTTGAAATGACCCTCTGTTTTTCCCATAAAATACAAAGATTATATAGGGAAATACGACTGGTCAGTTTTGACCCATTTCCCGATTTTTCCCGGACATGGCGAGTTTTTTATGACACCCCAAGGCGTTCTCCTACCACCTCACAAAATTTCAAGGGGGGTCGTCGGAGGAAATTTTTTTTCGTAATAGAGCTCATATAAAGAGAATTTCACTCGCGGTCACTTTTTAGCCCTCGTCGAGGGCTTTGAGTGAAACCGACATGTCTGCCCTACGGCCAAGCCATTTACCTATAAGCATGCCAAAACTTAGCCAGATGTAAAGAAGGTAAGTGCCCTAAAATCCGTTTTGAAATGACCCTCTGTTTTTCCCATAAAATACAAAGATTATATAGGGAAATACGACTGGTCAGTTTTGACCCACTTCCCGATTTTTCCGAGATATGCCGAGTTTTTTGTGACAC